GAACTTGTGAAACGGGATCGGCGAATGACACTAGATGAAATCGCTGCCAACCTGGGTATAAGTCATGGCTCTACCCACCATATCGTTCACGAGATGCTGGGATTCAATAAAGTGTGTGCGAGATGGACGTCTCTTCCGTCTACTGACGGAAGAGATGAAGAGCCAGCGCGAAACCAGTGCGGTTTCCCCGATGAGCCGTTTCGAATCTGAAGGAGATGCTTTCCTTTCACGAATTGTGACAGGAGATGAGACATGGGTCCACTACCACACACAGGAGAGCAAACGAGCCATCATGGAATGGAGGCACAAGACCTCTCCTCTCCCAAGAAATGCAAGATCGTCGCATCTGCCGGAAAATTGATGCTGACCATTTTTTGCGACATGAATGGCGTTCTTGTGACTCACTACCAACCTCGCGGGGTTACCGTAACCAGGGACACGTACTCACAGCTGCTGCGAGGTGAACTGAAGCCTGCAGTTCGAACAAAACGTCGTGGCCTCCTCAAGAAAGGAGTACTTCTTCTCCACGACGATGCTCGTCCCCACACTGCTCGACAGACTAGAAACCATTACAGATCTCGGATTTGAAGTTCTTCCGCATCCGCCATACAGTCCGGACTTAACCCCTAGTGATTTTCACCTCTTTGGACCTCTCAAAGAAGCGCGGACGAAAGATTCAGTTTGACAATGAGGGGCAGGAGGCAGTGCATTCATGGCTGAAGGGGCAACCCAAATCCTTTTTGCCTCGGGCGTCAGAGCTCTTGTAGGACGTTGGCAAAAATGCAATGATAATCAGGGGGATTATATAGAAAAATGACGAAATCATCGTCATTGTTAGAGCCGAATGCTTCTTCTCTGGCGTTGAAATAGTTTCTCGCGTCGATACAGCAATGTAGTTGGCAGGCGATAATGCCGGCTCAGTAAAAACCAAAATACCCGATCCTGAGTATTCACTTACTATTAATTTATGTTTCAATATAATTAGCTTAGGGTGTTCCATAATTCACTATTCCATTTAAAACTGTTATATTTTCGAAACTGCAACAACCAGGTCACTTTTTCAGCATTAATGGAAAGCACCTTCTTCATAATCTTTTCTCACAATAATGACTTGGAGTCAGACTCAAGCAGAAATAGCTTCAAAAGCATGTCTGAAAGGTGTATGTCTTTAGTACGTCATGAGAATTACGGAAAAATTGCTCTGAAAATGAAATTAATTGCAAACCACTTCGAAGCGAGCAACTAAATGTTTAAACGAGCATGTGAACGTCTCCATTGAGATACTGTTTTTAGCACTGGCAGCGGTGTGATGAATCCTCTCCACTTCAAGACATGATGGAAATCGTGGCAATTGGTTCCATTCTCACCCTCTGACGCCAGGGGTTTCAAGCAAAATGACGAGTTTTCCTTCTTGCGGTTCTTGTGTTGTGATGCCTGCGCGTTGCAACATCGATGGGACGGACTTCTAGCCGTTGGACCATCCCTCCCTCAATTCTTTTCAATGCGTGTTACTATTAGATACTAGCAATATGGAAAAGAACCCATCCCGTGCCGTCATGGGGTTAAACTTATTTTTACTTTCGTCACAGGCATACCCCAAACGTTTCCATTAATTGAATAATGAATATTTACTCATGCAACAGATTTTAAAAATAGTATCATTAAAGTAAAAAAAATTACGAAGGTATACCGTTCTTCCACCAAGCGGAACAATGTGTAATCAAATGAAATTTTCGTTTGATGGTGAACTACGTAGGGACGAGATGAGCTTTTTCCTTAGAGACACATACTATTTCATAAATTAATTTTTTTCTAGAACGAGTGTGCGATTCTTTCCAGGGATGATCGTTATCAGATGTGCAGTGCAGAACGCTTTCGCATCTGGTCACTTCATTGGATAAACATTGTAGTTAAACTTGTGCCACGGAAAATCGAACACCTTCGTACAATGCGCGTCGCTTGGAACAGGTGCTTATGTAAGAACTCTGTAGAAGAGACACCGGATGCATGTTTATTTTAATAGAAAATAGGGCATGTTTGTTTTCCAATTTGTATAAACCGGATTAGCATTTTATTTGGAATCAGGCTGCGATCTGAGTATGTCATGCACAAGGAGCACTCCCGAATAAGTCGGCATCATCAGATGGCATGCAGTTATGATTCTCAGTTTCTTCTTTTTCACAACAGGCAGAATAAATATTCACCGCAGCGTTGCCTATATATATGATTTGCTCACTCCCACTTTCTGGACGCAAAACTAATTTCCAAAAATGGATAGAGGCACCGAGGAACGTACGCTTTCTGGAAGCTTCTGTCAATTCTTAAAAAGTTTTTTTTTCATCCATTCTTTCCCATCATGGTAAACACGGGCGGGAAATGATCGAGAAGTGGCGCAGTCAAAGTCCGACATATCCATACCTAGATCTCTGAACTCCTTCATGCATGCCTCTAATGGATCAAAATCGTCCTTCAGGTTCTCCGCCAATTTTGCTTTATCCTTTGCATCCAGAAGATATGTGATCCTTTGTTCGAAACCAGGTTTGGCTTCTCGTTTTTCGCTCTCAATCAAGAGGTCAATGTATTCTGTGATACCCAATGGATCGGGCTTCAGGGCAATCTTGTCGAGCTTCTGCAAGCATTGGTGCGCCTCCTTAGTCAGCTTCAAGACGTTGGTCCTCTCAACGTTAAAGTCCTTGATGAGTTCGTTCAGAACACCTTTGGCATTTAGTCGCTTCCCAGATGCTTCCTCGTACTTCTTCTTCAACTTATGATAAGTATGTTCCTCCTCTTCCTCATAGGTTTCGAAGCGATACTCGTTGTTGACGTGTTTGTGCCAAATGCAGTTCTTGGGACATACTTTACAACATGCTGTCCCTTCTACAGTGCGCATCGCAGCACATCCAGCCTTGTCTTTGTTATTTGGAATGTAACATGGATAATGGCAAGTGGAGTTGCAATTTAAGCAGTTCGTCACGTACGTTCCTGAATCTAGGTCTATCTTTTTGTGCTTTGGGACTTTGACATTGTACTTGAAGTTCTTGTTGGCATCAGCCTCTGCTTCGTGCTGTTTCAATGCCAAATAAGTTTGCCTCACCCTCTCCGCCCTTGCCATTGCTAGAAGAATTCAAGAACAAAACAGAACCGTTTATCAGTATGTGCATTGAGTCAAAGGAGAACCATTGAAATGTTATTTCTCACCTGTTTTAATTTGTGGCAAGATCCCCTGGAGTGCCGCCTCCAAGTGTTTTCTCTCCTTCAGGACATCCTGCGTCAGAGTCAGACTCACGGGTGTAGTCTGAAGGAAATCCTTAAAGAATTTATCAAAGCTTGATATTCCCATTTTCCAAAAAAAGCTGTTCAAATCCTCAGCATCGGGCTCATCTGACGGTTTGACGAAAAATGCAGAATTGTTTACTTTGAAAGAGTTTCTACTCGGAATTTTAGCGTCCTTGAGGGCAGTTAGAACAGGAGGCTTCTGGCCGTCCGCAAAGGTAGTCAGCACGTAGATGATGTTTTCAACATCTTTCCCAAATACGGCCAAGATCGAGTCAAAGATGTACTTTTGAGTATGAGTCAGCCTAGCCAGGGAGGCCTGTACAACGAAGCAGATCCCATCAAGCTGATCCACTCCGATATTCCCACCATGGGAAAAGAATTCGTGGATCTGAATCTTCAACTCATCATCTGCCTTGATCCCTTCAGTGTCCCCAAACCCGGGGGTATCGATGAGAGTCAAAGTACTGGGCAGACGGAATCCTTCCTGCTGGTGTATTACGTAAGCCGTGATCCACTTCGTCTGACTCTGAGCTTCGGACTTCCCGGCACCTTCGTCCACGATCAGCTTGAAACGGAAAGGGTCTTCCCACTTCACTCCATACACGTAATTTATCATCCCATTGATGAGTGTACTCTTGCCTGAGGAGGAAAAGAAGGAGTTCTGAATTTAAATGCATATAAACCTGGCCAAGAGGCGTTCATCCTGAATGGGATAGACTTTACCTGCTCCTGTGGCTCCAACGAGCATAAGTACCTTTCCAGGTCCACTTGGTCCTTTCTCGCCGGTCTCAAACTTGGCCAAACGATTTTTTGCATCTTCCATTATCTTCTTCCGGGGAAGTTCATGAATGAATCCGTCAATGCTCCTGCAAATCTGCGCCATCTTTTCAGCAAGTGTCACCACTTTATTGTGCTTTTCTGTTGCTTCCTTCAATGAGAAAAAGTCACCCAAGAAAAATTTTATTTGTTACATTATGTACTGGCGAGTTTATTTGCCCTTCTGGCAAAGAAACTCGCTATGAACGCGCCTTCGGCCCTCTGTGATCAAATAAAATTATCAATGCATTTAAAGTATTCCTTTTCGATCGAAGCTCACCTCTAATGATGCGGTCAAACCCGGTTAATAGGTTTTGCAATTCTTGCGCCTTCGGCGCTGGTACCTTAAAAATAAAGTTCGAGAAATTTTCATTGCGACGTCATGTCTTCCAGCATGAGGATCACCAGGTAAAATTTCAGTGCGTCATTTAATGTTCCTTTATTGAATTTAATTCCTGGTTGAGGTCGTCGCACATTCTTCGCACATAACTATACTCGTATTTAAAAAAATATTGTAGCAGATTCTAAAACAATGATTTTCAAAATTTGCAAAATTAGGAGTTCATCCTTTTCTTCCTGGTCTTGGCAGTGAACCAGACAGAGCTAGACCTGTATTTTGAAAATAGGAGCAAACCAGTCTCGCATGTTCTAGAATGGCAGCATGATTGGTATTGCAGAGGCGCACTAATGTCCTGAGGAACAAAAATTATCAATCCACAACGGTGATCGTCCAGTAGCAACGTTGTTATCTAGAGCCTATTGAATCTCGCGTTTCAACCCCTGTGACGCGTACGAAGCAATGCAGCAGTAACGACATCAAATAGTCCATGAAAACGTTGATACCTTCTCAATGAGTTTGTGGACCATGAGGATGGTGACGGTACGGTGATGGTATCCTCTAAGCTTCTGATGAGTCAGCTTTTCCATCACTTCTTGAGTCAGCTTTTCCATCACTTCTTCTTATTTCCGTAAAATTGCGAATAAACTATCTTAAATGAATAATACGTGGCCATTCCATAATAACATGTTCTCAGTCTTCGCTTAAACCCTTACATAAATTCTGGAAACTCTTCATCTTTTTAAATTCAGGCGTTAAAATCGATGCTAAAAATTTGATTGTAGAAAATTGATAGATGAGGACTGAAACAACACGGCCCAACAGTCTAATCTATCAGTCCATGGAATGAAAATAATTTTTGTGACATTGACAGACTCACGAAAAAATCAGTCTTGGAACTTTATTGCCAGGCCTCGTATATGTAATCGGTTTTACGTGTGAACATAAAAAGTATAGTTTTCATCCAATTGTGAAGGGTTTCAAAAGGATAGATTAGGTTAAGTTAGGTCAGGCTAGGTCAAATGTTTTCACCTTTTCGAATGGGACTTCCAATAAATGCGTTCCACACTACCAAAAACTTGGAAAGAACATTAGGGTAACTTGGGGGAATATGGCCATTGGGGTAATATGGCCCTTCACGAGGAATCCCCTTATAGACTGAATAATTAGTTTGGGCGAATTTAAAAAATAG